TGAGGCCTTTACCGCTGTGAATGATATGCCCCTTGCAGCCCAGTCAGGGACTTGAGAAAAGTAGTGTGATCTACTTGAGACCCTGTGTGCTCAAAAGTGAAGGTGATCCCCATGGCCAGAAGGGATAACTGGCAATGAGGAGGATATGTGTAAAAATCGGAGTTAAACATGTGCTTGGATAAGTAGATACCAAACACCCTTGTTTTAAAAGTCACTTCAGCCAATAGAATCTCCCAGATCACACAATTGGTGGCATGATTCATACTTTTTTCACTGTTTAATAACTAACCACAGTAAAGTTTTTTTAACCTGTCACACACAGAATTCACTCCTTTGTTTCTATTAGTATTTTTTCTTGTCCTAGAGATTTCCTACAGTAGCAGATCTTTACTACATGCAAAAGAGGAAACGATAAAGGGCTTCAAGAAGAGGAAATTTCCGGGCCAGCCAAGTGGCTCAGTTGGTTAAGAGCTCACTCAAGAGTGTGAGCTCTGAACAATAGGGTCACCGGTTTGATTCCCAGCCCGAGCTAAGCTGCCACTGAGCTGCCAACAGGTGGCAGGATGGCTCAGCTTAAAAAAAAAAATAGAGAAAATGTCCCTGTTCTAAATTTAAAGTGCCTATTCATACATTAAAGGTCATATGGCTCAATTTGAGGGGTTCAAGTATAATTTGATTCTGATGTTTCTTTTGGAAACATTTAGGGATGTTTTTCTTCCCCCATCCTATAACAGTTTAGCACTTTTTATTTCATTTATTTCTAAATGGCCACACTAAAGTTATTAATACAAGCTCCAGTATTCTACAATAACCTATCAGTGGTTGGGAAGTAAAATATTTTGGATAAATACATGATTATTTAAAACTTTAAGCTAAAAAATTAACCAAATTGAATTAAAGCTATATAAACACAGTAACCTTCATATGAGTAAATGCTTTGTTTTTATATTTAAGATTCTCTAATAACTATATTTTACTTTATAGGGTTCTCTAATAGTGGACTATTTACCTGCAGTATGTTTTACTTCTTGTGAATTATTTTTCTTACAAATTTTAAATGGTCCACTAGATGAGGCTACAGTCTAACACACACACACACACACACACACACACACACACACACGTTACATTCCACATCATTGACAAACGTTATCAAGCACATCAGTTGACCAGCTCAATCCAAAGGCAACAAAAACATTTCTGACAGCTCTTCCAAAAGATCAGTTATTTTATTGATGCCATTAAAAAGCAAGTTGTGATTGTTTGTCTCACTAGGAGTTTATTGTGATTAAATATCAAATTAACAGGTAGAAAGCCTGGGTTTTTGGCTGTTAGTGCCCTAGCATCCCTGACACAGACCTCAGTACTGACATTCCACAATTTCCAGGGTGTAAATGGTAAAACCTGAAGCCAGAATTCTCTTTCAAGTTGCATGTTTCATTAGCGAGGAAGAGTTGGATAGACAAGGGGTGAAGTATTTTTGTAAGGACTGTAGGCATACTTATAAATCTTTGTTGTCACAGCCATACCCTGATAACATCTTTTATTCCATAATCAACCTAGAATAGGCCCTTCACACAGGGAACATGAGGAATTTCATGTATGAATATTTAAATCTTTTACTGTAATAAAATCAAGAAGTGTGTTTAGAATGTGATAGGCAGCTAAAACTATTACGCCCACTGTGTTCAATTAGAATTTAGTTCAGAATTATTTTTCCACATTGAAACACTTTGCAAGCACAAATATCTATGAAAAGATGCTTTGTCGGTGACTGCTTTTGTTCTGTGAAGACTCAAATGTGTGTCCGTATGTATGTGTGAGTGTATATAAATTATATATATATATATATGTATATGTATGTGTGTGTATTTCAGATGTCAATGTATAAGTCAGTTGGGTTTATGATGGGCTTTGGATACCATTGTGTGGATTTAAAAAAAAACCAACTGATGTCGAGAAAGAAGAATGTTTTATATTGATAGGTATGCTTTTCCAAAATTCTTAGGTTTTGAAATATTTTTAAATACACGGTGATTTTATATGTATAATATTTCTATAGATAGATTCTTTTAAAAAGCTGTATTTATAATGTTTCTAATATAAAATCACTAAACTCTAGTACATTATAACAGGTGCTTTATAATCTGAAATGGACTGGGCGTAGGGGACATTAGGGTATCTCTGTTTACTTGNTATGAGTATATTTAAGATGATAATTTTCCCCCTTAGGTTCCATGCCTACCGTTTTTGCCAGCATTCAGCATCCTGGTGAACATTTATTTGATGGTCCAGTTGAGTGCAGTGACTTGGATCAGATTTAGCATTTGGATGGCACTTGGTATGTCTTTTAATATTTTAGCTTTCTCAGCTTCGCCTCTCTCTTTCCAGTTCCATGCTCTGTGATTAGAGAAATTCATCCCTTCCCCCTTCCTGGAAATAAAGCCTTTTCCCAGTTTCCTCCTTGCCCAATGCTTAGAACATCTGAGTGCTTACTTTTCCAGATGTTTTCAGATGCCTTTTTAAAATGCATTTTCCCTCAGTAACCCTGTAGAACCCTGTAGGTTCTATTTTTTCCAACTTCATGGATGAGAAAAATGAAGGATCTCAATGTCAAAGGATCTAACTCATAAATGACAGCCCAAGACTCTGATTGCAAAGCCAGCGCT